GGGGTTCTTGAATCGGCCAACCGCTTGCTTCTCCAGTATCTCGGGGTTCAGGCTCGCCTCAGTGACCACGCCTTCGATCTCCACATCAGAGGCTGGAATGTACATCCTATATTCCAGTGTGAAAAACTGGGAAACAGCAATTTCATTGGCCTGTTTCAGGTTAGCGACGGTCACACGAAGTTTGTTGTGCCTAACCTTCGTTATTTCGGTCACGGCAGAGAATCGCTTTGTCAGATCATCAGATATCTGAACAACATTCAAGGGTTTGTTTTTGGGCTGAAAATAGACAACCCATGGGCCAGTCGAGTCATTCGGGTAGGCCCGCAATCTGGTGCTTTTCTCATCCTGCCCATTGACAGACTGAGACGACGAACCAGGGATGACATCATCATTATTCTGAGATGAATGGTCATCCATGTCGTCTTCTGACAAAACATCCATTTTGTTCAACTAGTGGGAGCGCAAAACGCTCTCCCACTGAACGCACAGACACAATACACAGAAAACACTACAAACACAGAAATACAAAATGAAAATTTAACTAATGGAGGAGGAAAAGAAACAAAAAAAAACAAAAACTTATCTGATAATTCTATACTTCTACCACCGAGCGTTATACGTGTAGGCGTTTACACAGATGGCTGGGAAGCGACGCGCAGCGTGGATGACCTTCGCTGTGGTGCACTTGATCGAGGCGCGGTACTCAGCGCACACAGGCGCACGATGATTGATGAACGATGTAGATGTAGAAACGGGTGCTCACACTCGATGATGATGATACGTGAGCGGGTATGCGTGAGCGCGTATGCGTGACCACGCAACGATGATGCCCAAATTGGTTTGCGAATTACAAATAGCACGGATTAATCGTTCCGAAAATGACACTTTCTACTACAAAAAAACTCACTTTTCGATCAATTTACCGGGAACTATGCCAGGAGTCACTTAGTGAGAAAAAAACTGATAATTTATATCAAGCGAATACCGAGAAAACTTCCAAAACAACGGAGCGCGAAACAAGTCGACCGTACTTCTTGCTAGGACGCAGTGAGATGATTTCAATAAGTTGTATCTCGAAAACCTAATTTCTTATCTAAATGACGTCTGAAAATTCCAAAAAAGTGTTCAAAACTGAAATATTGTGAATATTTATAATCAATTTTTTATATGAAGTTCATAAAAATGCAAACTTTTGGAGTATTTTAAACCATGGACACTACTTACCTAGGACGGCTGCTCCTGGAATTTTCCTTCGATTTCTGGAACTTTTCTGGCTTCCACTGGATGTGATTTTTTTCCGAAAGTTAACCATTATTTTTCTTGGAAGCACCCTGAACTTTTATTTTTTGCGCCTTAGCTTTCAACATTCTTTAAACTTCCTCCAGAAGAACTTATTTATTCGCTCTCTGGATGTTTTTTCGGCTTCCCGCAGAAGCAAATCCAAACATTCCCAGGAAATTTCTTCCCACTAAAGTTGTAAATGTTCCGTTCCTAGTCCAAAGACCGATAGCGATAAATTTCGATTTTTTTTTTTAAACATTTGATGCCGATAAGCCTGAAAACAATCTGGCAACGCTGGCAGTACTACCAACTAAGAAAAATTTAAATTGATCGTTAACCTTTCGGCTGTGTCAAAAAAAAAAAAAACTTACGTTGTCTGTACCTTGGGGTCAAATTTGACCGTCATATCTCAGCGAAGGTTCAACGGATTTTTGAAATTTCGAATAATTTGGAAAGTAAATTTAATGTAGTTTCAGTTTAAATTATCAAAGTTTATTTAAGGAGGCGCACCTTTCATACGGAGGGGCCATTGTAAAAATACAACTAAGAAGTGGCATATTTTGATGTTAGAGATGTTTATATCACGAGATCCCAACCAAATAGAAGGATATTCAAGAATACAAGGTCTTCAAAACTATGCATTGTATATGAAAGAATTGACTCACTAGATGAAAATGATCAAGCTCCGCCATCTTTTCTACACATTATACAACGGTATCTACAGATTCTGCTCATATGGATTCCTATCCCCAGGGTACAGACAACGTAAATATATAGGGGAAATGACGGCTTCGGCATGACATACTATTTTCGGCAACCCAGATTGAAACACTATTTTCACTGGATTTTCTTACGAAACCACTTCGCTGAATGCATGCAAACGATTCTTTATGCTTTCAGCTTCAATTTGACTATATTTTTACCGCTGAGAAAAAGCAATCTAGCAAGGTTTTCTTGAAATGCAACACACGCACTACAAATTGTAGCTGATTTCGAGTTGCCGATAATAGAACAGCAGATTTACATGCAGTTCAAATGGAACGGTTGCCGAAGAAAAACTGGTTGCCGACAATACTCGCTCTCACTAGAGAAAATTGGAGCTTTGTAAAAGCGTTTCAAAACAGTTTTTGACAATTCTTTCGACTGAAATTGTTAGAGCAGCTGGCAGCAAAAGATTGTAAACAAACCAATACTGCATATGTGTGCGTTCCTTAGAGAAAAAGGCTACAGAAAGAAGGTCGCTGCTTAGGTTGCCGAGAATACGTAATTTCCCCTATAAAAAAAATCCAATAGCTTTCTTTTCAAGGTTTTTTGAGCAGATTTCATCTAATATTACAGAGCTCTGGTGGACGCACCTTGTTACGAAAGAATTAGTAAAATCCATCGACAAATAAAAAAGTTACAGACATTCAAAGTGGCCTGGGGTCAAATTGACCCCAAGGTACAGACAAAGAATTAAATCTCGCGCAACATGAGCAAAGGGCCTATCATTGTTGATCGATTCTCTTCATCGATTTCTCTTTCGCGAATAACCAGATTGCAAATGAATTTCTCATTCAGTGTGGTGTTTCAGGCGCAAGCTAACATCATCTTCTGTCGAACTGTGCTGAGAGCTTAGCGAGAAATTCGTTTATGTTGCCGTGGTAAACCAAAGATAAAATTGATGAAGAGAATCGATCAACGAGGATAGGCTCTTTTCAAATTTTACGCGAAAAATGCATGTTCGATGAACAACTGGCGAGTGCTATGCCTGTGGTTATAGCAAGCAAGCCCGTGAATGGTTGATTACGGCCAAAAAGTTTGATAAATTTTCAATAGTTTACTTATGCGAGCGGCGCCGGTGGTTTAGTGGTAAGCGTGATTACCTCTCATCTTAGCAGGCCTGGGTTCAATCCCAGTCGGGGCCACCGGGATGTTCTGAGGCATAACATCTCTGATCACTCCTTCCTTCAGTAGGGAAGTAAAGCCATTGGTCCCCGGTTCATGAGTTGATGGGTCGATAGGTAGGGTCCAAGTGTAGGAGCTGCCTCCCTGGCGTCGGTAGCATTGGTGCTCAGCACGGAAAACAAATCAAGGAAAAAAAATACTTATGCTATACTACTATAATATTTTTGACAGGCGAATCTTACATCAAATCTGAATCAAATGGTGTGATAAGAATTGTAATTTATCCACAAAATGGCCAAGTTATAAGCGATTAAAACCTGACACTATTTCGTCATACCATTTTTTTTATTTGCTCCCCCCCAGACCAGTATATTCCACAAAGACGTAGTCCTGCGTCAAAAAAGGTGATTGTTTTTCATTTAATTCCACTCATTTTGTATCCAGGACAGACATGTATCTCAACTACAATGTGTAGCCTCATTCCCAGTGCCATTCCCTCTAAAGACCTATTACAATCCAACCCTCTTAACACATCAGGTATAAAAATGAAACTGCAACTTGCCGAATCAAGTAAAGAAGGAAACTCTAAACAACTTTTTGTTTTCAAACAATGTATTCTGTTTTTGTTCTCTGAAATATAACCGTTGGTTATTACGTTATTGATTCAAGCATGATTATTCCCCCTCCACTTCCACCCATAAGTTTACTCACGGTTATGCATTTTTCATTAAATGCCATCTACGTATAAGAATAAGAGCTCAACCACCTGTATGCGAAACCGACCTTCGCCAATGAATTTACATTGTTGACATAAAGACTGTCCATGAAAAAAATTGCACACCCATAATTCTATTGTTGCTTTTTACCGTTAGAATTTCAAATTTCAAAATGTCAAATTTACGTCAACGCAACGTAAACGAATCTAATGTGGGTGGCCCTTTAGGTTCCTAACAAACATGATTTGGCACTTGACAATCTTGAGTGAATGTTGTTTGGCGTTCTGGCTGATGTGTTTTTCTCGGACAGCCTTTATCTAAAAACTTTGCAATAAATGTATCACATGTGGGTGGCGCCGTAGCTTTGCACACTTGTCCGTCATATGTTTCACTTGGGACCTCCCGTTGCTCAGTCGGTAAAGGCACAGCTACAAAGCAAGACCATGCTGGAGGTGGCTGGGTTCGATTCCCGATCTCGTCTAGGAATTTTTCGGGTCGACTTTTCTGGGCAGTATGGAGAGTATGATTGCACTTGCCACACCGTACGTACTAATGCAAAAATGGTACTGGCTTAGAAAGCTACCAATTAACAACTGTGGAGGTGCTCACAGAGAAGTAAGTTGAGAGTCGGCGTAAAGTCCCAGTAGGGACGTAATAGAGCCAAAGAAGAAGGAGAATGTTTCACTTAGCATTAACGCAAATGTATCGGTATATTTTGAGTAAAACCAGGTAAAGGGTAAAACACACGACTTGTGTGTTCCTGTTCCCACACTGCAATTTGTCGTCAACCGAAAGGACATGCCGCCAGTGGAGTTTTTATTTATTATTATCGGACAGCTTTGTGCCGGAGGGTCTCAGAAATGTATGAAATTTTCCCCACAGGTAGCTTTTATGATTATATGTCCGAAAATAAATTTCCAAACATTTTAGTTTCGGTGCCGGATTTTCCCGGACGTACTTTGACTATTAATAACTTATGTAGTTTTCGGTCATATCTCAAAAACTGTTACAGACACAACGCTGAACGATAAGATGTCCTCATGCATGAAACAAATCATTAGAAGAATTGTCATTGCCCTGACATTGGTTTGTCCTGATTTTCCTTGCGATTTTCCTCCACCGTGAATATTTTCATCATATCATATTCAATATGAGTTATTAATTTTCAATGTCCGAAAAGTTCAATCAAAATTTTCCGGTGGAGTGAACCACACCGAATTGTTTGAAATTGTTTTTCTCATTCATATAACCCCAAACACTCTACCTGTGGGCGAAATTTCATAAAATTCTGAGACCCTCCGGCCTATTTTGTTCGGTAATAAAGAAAAATCCCCCAGTGTCATAATTCCCACCGGGGGTTTAATATCTGGAAACTTCTTGAAGCAACTATGCACCACTCAGTCATGATGTTCAGTTTCGCCAGGATGGTGGTCACCTGGAAGAGTCTTCTTGTTCATTGGAACAATCTACGCCGATCGGTGCAGCCCTATCTCGACTACGACTACGACCGATGTCTGGATCTGATCTTGATTGGTGCCGCAATCCGTCCGGTGGCCGGTGCTGAGCCTTGGAAGCGCAACTGTCTGGTTCTGTATCGGATGCTCGGATTTTACCAGCTCATTATGGGTATAGCAAAGGTCGGACTCAGTATCCGAAGCGGAAACGATACGATGGGACTTTGCACGTCCACTGTTTTATTAGTAGCTCAGATAACAATCTACGCCAAAGTATACATCCTTGGGCACTACCATGAAGTCGTTCGGCAAGCAAAGATTTTCGTCAACAGTAACTGTAGCTATTCGCGTGATCCCGATTACGACGCCACCGTTCGGCGTGGTCATGCGAGAGTGCCCGGAAAAATTACTTTGATCATTTTGGGTATCCTATGCTGTGATCAAGTGATTTTGTCGATTCCGAACTCAGCTCGGGATTATATCTTTGGCATACCGGAACAGTTTCACGTGTTGGGAGCTACGGTTGCTCGTTTGCTGCAGGAGACGTACGTTTTAATGATACCCATCTTCTGGGGCTGCGGATATTTCAGTGGCCCACTTACGATCATGCCTCTGCTCAATGAACTCAAACATGAGCTGATGATTGTTGCCCGTGGTTTTGAAACGGTTGCAGCTTTGGAATACCAGAACAACGTGCCGGGAACATCCAGAGGACTTTCTGACAGTGTATTGATGTTGAAGCATTTGAAAAAGATGTTGGGAATCACCGTGAAACAGCATGTTGAATTGTTGAGGTAGGTTGTTTCGCTGGTTTTCTTGGACTGTTGATCGTAGTTGACATTTTATCTTTAAGGATCATACACCTGTTGCAGCCCGTCATTAGCCACCTTTACGCCATCATCTATTACAGTGTTATGATCATCGTTTCGCTGCTTGTATTTGTTGTGATTAGAAGTGAGATAACGTTGGTCACTCTAGTGGTTCTTGGAATAACTTGTATGTTATTAGTGGTGGAGTGCTATTTGTGGTGTCGCATGATTGATTCGGTTCAAGAAGCAGTGAGTGTCGGTGGAAATTGGTCTGATCTCAGTTGTTCACAGCTTTCTTTACATTGTAGATGGAGATGATTGCTGGTTGTGTTGCTCCACTAGGTTTCGAATTGCAACATTCAGTGGACAACCATTCCGAGTACATCGAGATGCGTACTTCGATCATGATAGTACAACTCAATGCGTCCCAATGCGATTGGTTCAGCTGTGGGGAAATTTTTCCCATATCCGTGGAATCGTTCGGAAATTTGTGTATGATTATATACAAGTTCGCTACGTTCCTGTTGGAGTTTGTTTGAGAACGCCGTACCAGTTATCTATGGGTTTAAGTGTTTAAATCAAATTTTGAAGTATTTTGAAGAGAGTTTGTCGTGGTAGTAGTAGCAAGCGTTTTGTCTTCATCGTTGGTTGCTTTATGTGTTTGGATTTGCTGTGTGTAGTTTTGTGCCTTAACGCAAAATTTTAGACCCATATTTTTTAATTCATCATTAGGGTAACCATTTCCATGTTAGGGTGGTCCAAAAAATCGTTTTTTTTTTCCAAAAATTACTTTTATTTAATTCATAACTTTTGAACCACTGAGTCGATTTCAAAGATCAAAATATCAAATGATATAATTAAAATCATTTAGGGGAATTTACGTATTCTCGGCAACCTAAGCAGCGACCTTCTTTCTGTAGCCTTTTTCTCTAAGGAACGCACACATATGCAGTATTGGTTTGTTTACAATCTTTTGCTGCCAGCTGCTCTAACAATTTCAGTCGAAAGAATAGTCAAAAACTGTTTTGAAACGCTTTTACGAAGCTCCAATCTTCTCTAGTGAGAGCGAGTATTGTCGGCAACCAGTTTTTCTTCGGCAACCGTTCCATTTGAACTGCATGTAAATCTGCTGTTCTATTATCGGCAACTCGAAATCAGCTACAATTTGTAGTGCGTGTGTTGCATTTCAAGAAAACCTTGCTAGATTGCTTTTTCTCAGTGGTAAAAATATAGTCAAATTTAAGCTGAAAGCATAAATAATCGTTTGCATGCATTCAGCGAAGTATTTTCGTACGAAAATCCAGTGAAAATAGTGTTTCAATTTGTGTTGCCGAAAATAGTCTGTCATGCCGAAGCCGTCATTTCCCCTATTAGTTTAAAAAACAGATTTCAATTATTTACAAAAGTTGTAACCTACAAAAGCTTAGTACGTCATTTTATAAAATGTTGTTGATGAAAAAAGTGAGAGGAAAATTAATGTAAATGAATGTCTACACGGCACTCCTGTAGATTTTGGAATTAAATTTAGAAATCAATAACTTTGTAATTATTATTGATTTGGGTATCAAAAACAATCTCGTAGTCCGATGCAGGGCCCAACAAAGTCACGATAATCGTCAAGCGACGACGATTCTGACAACCATCACTTTCAATTGAAAGTCATTCTGTCTTCTCTTCGAGCAGATGCTCTTCAACATCAACAGAACCACTTTCGATCAGTTTTCATGCTGTTTGTATAGCCTTGACTAGTGTTCATTTCGACCTTTCATTGTCAAATGAACTTACTTGCGTATTGAAGCGAAGCTGTTCGATCTAAATTCACGCAGTTTTTCTGACTTTTGTTGATTGTTCACTCGGTTAATTTAAACGCATGCTCATAGATCTGTGCACGTGAATGTAAAATTTATCATATGGTTTGTTTACCCATCAATATGGGTATTTTTGGAATCGGAGTGACGTCTAGAGACCGGAAGTCGATGACCGACGCCATTTTGAAATCCAAGATGACGACTTCTGATTCCAGAAAAAGTGTGAAATACTGACAGCGATGTATCAATATGGGTATTTTTGGAATCGGGGTGACGTCTGAAGAACGAAAATCGATATGCGACACAATTTCAAAATCCAAGATGACGGCTTCCACTTTCAAAAAGATGATGACGTCTAGAGGCTGAAAATCGATATCCGACGCCATTTTGAAATCCAAGATGACGGCTTCCGACAACAGAAAAAGTGGGAAATACTGTCAAATACCCATTAATAATGGCATTTAAGGAATCGGCATGCCATCTAGAGGCCGGAAATGGATGTCTGACGCCATTTTGAAATCCATGATTGCGGCTTCCGATTTAAGAAAAAATAGGAAATACTGTCAAATACCCATCAATATGGGTAGTTTTTCAATCGGGGTGACTAGAGATTGGAATTAGATATGCGACGCCAGTTGGAATCCAAGATGGTGGCTTCCAGTTTTAGAAAAATGGGAAATACTAACAAACTCTCATCAATGTGGGTATTTTTGGAATCGGGATGTCGTTTAGAGAATGAAAGCCAACATCCGATACCATTTTTAAATTCTTGAAATTTTGAAAAAATGGAAAATACTATCAAATATGCAGTTATTTTTTTTATAGAATCAGAGTAATGTCTAGAAGCTGGAAATCAATATCCGATGCCATTGTGAAATTCAAGATGGCGGCTTCTGATTTGAGAGAAAGTGTCAAATACCCTAAAATATGGCAATTTTCAAAACGTAGATGCCGAAAAACTATGTCAGACGCCATTTTTAAAACCAAGATGGCGACTTCTGGTTTCAGAAAAAGTTGGAAATACTGTCAAATACCCATCAATGCGGGTATTTTCAAAATCCCAGCAATGTATAGAGGCCAGAAACCAATGTTTGACGCCATGTTAAAAGCTAAGATGGCGACTTTTGTTCAGAAATAGTGTGAAATACAGTCAAATACCGATCAATGTGGGTATTTTAGGAATCGGGGTGACATAAAGATGGCCGCTAACGATTTTAAGAAAAGTGTCAAATACCCTACAAATGGCGTGAAATCGATTTTCTGCATGCACGCGTCATCCCAGTTCCGAAAATACCCATATCTTAGGATATTTGACATTTTTCTGAGCCCGATGACCGGCATATTGGATTCCAAAATGGCGTCAGACATCGGTTTTCGGCACCTTTGCGTCGTCCTCGTTCCGAAAATACCCATATTTTAGGGTATTTGAGACTTTTCCCTATCCCGATGGCCGTCATCTTGGATTCGTTAATTTAATTTTCGTTTAATGTAAAATAACATTTTATTACTACATAACCCAGATGGCATCCCTATCGGCAACCGATATTGTGTGGATACTATCTGGATACTATATATCGATGCCTGACGACGCGACGCGTCACAAGTCGAATGATCCCCGAATTGAAGTGAAAGTGGAAAAAAACGAAAGAAGCAGATTTCAAGTCATTCATTGCGTCAATTGAAACAAGTTTTTGCTTCAAATGAAATGAACTGATGCACTTGACGAACGAAACAAGCGATAGTCAAGTCATGTTTGACAGGAGGAATGTTCATCGTGACTCGGTAACAAGGAACACAATGACTTACACGAAAATGAAATTGCTCGAAATGAAGCGATTCTGCGGAGAGTTCATTTTCTTTTCTTTGTTTCGAAAATGCAGAACTCTGGTCCGATGTGAATAAAGCGGTTGTGCTCCAGCCAGCCTTATCTCTTTTATTTATTTTCCCTCAAATTATACACCAAACGACCCCCATTAAGCCCAAAGCTATACCGATAAATCAATTCATCAATACGATCAGGCAGCAGTCACGATTTTAGAAAACTAATTATCTAAAATGTATCAAAATGTTGTCCGTGCAGCTGTCCTTAAATTATCGAATGACAGTGGTACGGTTAATTTTTTAACATACTTGAATACCAGCAGAATCAGTTGATTGAGTGCTCGCGTACCCCGTCATACCGAGGCTATGGCAAGGAAAAACGCAGCGCACACCAAAGGAGGACATTTTAATTACAGTCCCGATGGCACCAATAAAATAATATGTACTTAGTAGCCAGCACTGCTTTCTCGGGCCACCCGCACCTCGCTGCATTTCACAATATTTTAAACGTTACATTCGCTCGACTGCATACGCGGTTCCAAGTTAACCACAAAGACCTCCAGCTAATACCAGCTCCTACATCGCAATTTGGTTGTTAATTATGCAAAAAATAAACCATTGTCATTTACTGAAAAGACACGTTGCTGTTAACCTTTTTGAAGCAACCATGCACCACCCGCTCTCAGTGGTGAGGCTCACTTTCGCCAAGATGGAATACCGGAGGAATCTCAAAATCCATTGGAGCAACCTACGTCGATCGGTGCAGCCCTATCTCAACTACGATTACGACCGCTGCCTGGAACTGATCATGATTGCCAGCGGAGTTCGCCCGGTACCTGGTGGCGAACGCTGGAAGCGCCGCTGTCTGATCCTGTACCGGCTGATCGCCTTCTACCATTACATCATGGCTCTAGCAAAGGTTGGATTCAGTGTTCGAAACAAAGACAATCCGGTAGAGCTTTGCGCCTCCATCGAGATATTGGCAGCTTTTACAGCCATCTACGCCAAAGTATACATTCTTGGGCACTACGATGCAGTCGTTCGGCAGTTAAAGGTTTTCGTCAACAGCAACTTTAGCTATTCGGGTGATCCCTATTACGACGAAACGGTGCGGCGAGACCGTTCCAGGATGCCCGGAAAAGTGATCAAGTGATTTTCTCGGTGCCTAACTCTGCTCGGGATCGTATCTTGTGCATACCGGAACAGTTTAACGTATTGGGGGCCACAGCTGCTCGTTTGCTACAGGAAGGATTCGTGTTCATGATAGGCATCTACTGGGGCTGCGGATATTTCTGTACCTCACTTACGCTATTGCCTCTTTTCACGAGACTAAGAAATGAACTGTTGATTGTTGCCCGTGGTTATGAAACGATCGCAGAACGAGGACAAGCTCTGGCTTTGGCCGATCAGAACAATGCGACGGGGACATGCTGGAAAGTGT